ATTGTATGTTTTTTGTTAAGAGTATAGTATATATATAGTGAAATTTTAGAAAAACCAATAAGTTTTCCAGAAAAATCTAGTAAGTTTTCCAAGATTAGTGAATGAATTTTTGGAATTTGTTGGGTTCCAGAAAATTTTAATGGGTATACAAAAGTGAGATTTCCAGGGCAAGCCAATAGGATTTCAAAACTAAAGGTATGTTTTTTGACAAGGGAGTTTGAAGTTTTCTTGATATAAAATCGTCATTTTAGTCCATTTGTAATATATTATATATCAAAATGTTCATCTTGATGAGTAGAACAAATTTATATTAAGTAAGAACTGTGGTTTACTTAGTACAATTTAGAGTAAATAGCAAGTAAAGAGATAAAAAAGTTTTAGCTATATTTTCGTAAGTTTGAGTTTATTTGTAATATATTATATGTTAAAATGATCATATAGAGGAGCTGAGTAAGTTTTTATTAAGGAGTATAAGTAGTTGGCTTAATAAAGTTTTATAAAAACTTTAAATTTGTAAATTTTTATATTTTTAGAGAGTTTTTGTAAATAATATATTTTAAAACTTTTGTGATATATGTAAAATAAATAGCAGAGCAAGTTTACTTAAAGCATCAAAGTAGATTTGCTTAGTATTTCAAGAAGTTATAGTTATTTTTGTTTTGAAGTTTTTTAGAGTTTGTTTGTGTAAGTGATTTATGGAAAGAGTATTTATTAGGTATTGAAATATTGCAGAAGCATTTACTAAGCCAAAAAGTATAATATTAAATTGGAAAGTATCAAAGAAAGTTGTAAAGGCAGTCTTAAGTCGATCTGACTCATCAACTTAAAACACTAGCAAGGTCTAAAGAACTATACCAATATAACCAGAGAGGGCATCCAAAAGATCATTAATACGAGAGAGAGGATAATTATCTTTAATGGTGATAGCATTTAATTTATAATAATTGATGCAAAATTGGATACTCCTGTCTTCTTTAGAGACTAATACAACAGGGAAGTTCTAGGGCTTTGGCAAGGACGAATGATTCTAGCTAAAATCATATGTCCAATTTCATCTTGGATAATTTTTTTTAGAAGAGAGTATTAATAGAGATATTGCTTAATCGGAAGGATATCAATGGTGTCAATCTGATACTTCACAAGGTTAGTTCAACCTAATCACCCTTTTTTTTAGATAAAAAAATCTAGGTTATTATCTAGAAATTGCTGAAGCCAAAAATGTTGCCCAAACTCCAGACTTCCAATTTTGTAAGGATCTTGCTGTTCTTCATAATAATAATCAAAGAGGTTATTAACAAGAATTCTCAGCAGGGGTATCTGTGATACATCTTCAGGGGTTAGGCTTGATACTATATTTCTTGAGATATGTGTTTTCTGCTTTATTATAGCAATATTTAACATTAGCATATTTATTTTTTTATTTTTTTATTTTTGTCCTTCGGTTATTTTCATCAATTACATTATCTGTGTTGAAGTCAAAACCATCTGTCTCAACTTGTAAAGTGCTAAAATCTAGATAGAAATACCACTCATCTTCACTAGAACTATCCAATTGAAATCATAGAATACTAACAGAAGTAAGTGTTCTAAATTAGGAGAAGAAGCAAGGATCTCTCTTTGTTAATAATCCTTAATCTGGATAGAAAGCAAACAAGAATTTACAGAGGGCAGGGCCAAAGAAGAAGAAGGTAAGAGGTCATAAATATTGATTTGGAGAGAAATAGGTAGCTTGTATGAGATGCTGGTATGTTTAGTAGGAAATTATTAGTATTTTTATTATTAGGGGTTAGAGGTAGAAGAGATGAATTAAGAAGCGAATAATATACATCTATTGGGAAATCTAAAATCAGAGTATCAGGAA